CCCCCCCCCCACCCCCAATCTGAGCCTGTACACCTTGGCTCTCCAACCTTGGCCATTTTAAGCCTGCTTCGACTCCCAGCAAAACTGGCTGGGGAATTTCTGGGAGTTGAAGTCCTCCCCTGTTCCAGGATGTTCCCTCCCAAAGTAACCCGGGTTAGTTGCCAGTCTTTGCAAAGGGCTCCGCGGGACCCAGGGGCTCTTCCCCACTTTGCGGGGGTAGGCAGGTAGGTAGGTAGGTAGGTAGGTGTGTGTGTGTGTGTGTGTGTGTGTGTTCCCCCTCCCTGCACAACACGCACTGCAAATCCAGGAGCTCGGGGAGTTTTTCCCGAACAGCAGAAGCAGCTCGGCAGAACCTCCCGGGAGGCCCCGCATGGCCCGCTCACCCAGCGTGCCCAGGTCCTTCTTCTCGCTCGGCCTCGTCTTCACCCTCTGGCTGATGCCCACCACGCCCGACTGCACCGCGCTCGACTCGCCCCCGGAGGGCTCGAAGGCTTCGGGCGGCTCCTGGGCGGCGGGCGTCCCGGCGGGAAGGGCCGGCGAGCCCGGCGGAGCGGAGGTTGCATCTGCCGAGGAAGCGTACGATAACAAGAATTGCAAGGGACCCTGGAGGTCGTCTAGTCGAACCCCGCCGCTCATGGAGGGAGACCGTCGACCAGGTCCCGGGAGGGCAGAGGCGGCTCAGCCGGGCAGGGAAGGACGGGGGCGGCAGTCCAACCGGGCCAGAAGGGACCCGGACCCCTCCGGTCCCGGGGCCGCTTCCCCCTCGGGCTGCCCGAACGAGAAAGGGCCGCCACCCCCGGAGGAGCCCGACTCATTTCAGGCAGCCAACGGGGAGGCGGAGGCCATCGGGTCCGCAGGGCTGAGAGTTATAGGAGCTGTAGTACAAGGGACCCGGACAACCGTCCCAGGGCTGGGAGTTATGGGACCTGGAGTTCAAGGCACTAGTGCCCCCCACCCCCCATAAAGGGCGGGGCTTGGGTGCGGGGCGGGGCAGACACCACGTGCCGGGGGCGGGGCCAGGTTGTTTACTCCGCGAAGCAATGCGGCTGGGATGACATCACCCCGGAGGGGGCCCGTCGCTACAACGAGGACCAGCCAATCCCGAGCCGTGGACTCGGGAGGAAAACATGACGTCACCCTTTCCGCCCCGCCCCGCGCGAAGGGCCGAGCATGCGTATTCGGGAGCAATCGTCGCGGCGGGGGGGGAGGGGGCTTCGTCGTGTGCCTTCCGCGCGTTCTGTCGTGGCTTCTGAGCATGTGAAGAGCGCGCCCGTCCTTCTCGGCACCGCTTTGTCCGCCGCCCCCCCCCCCCCCCCCAAGCGCTGCCGGCAGGTCAGCCGTCCCGGGCCGAGCAGCCCAGCGCCCCACCTGGGAAGCCCCCCGGGAAGCGCCCCGCCGGCAGCTGCCAGGCAGACCCGTGCAAAGCGCACGTGCGAACGCGGGACGCCCAGCGGGGGCCAAAGCGCCGGCCCCGCGCTCCCCCTCCGGGCCCCGCTCCGCGCCAGCCACGCACCTTCGGCGCCGGAGCAGCGGCTCAGCAGCAGCGCCAGCAGCAGCGCCAGCAGCCGGGCAGCCTCCATCGGGCGGCGGGGCCAGGCGAGCTGCGTCCGAGGCCGCCCGGCCAGCCCGCCCCGCGGCTCCTGCTCGTGCTCGGGAGCGCGCAGCCGCCGCGCAGCCTCCAGCCCCGCAGGCCGCCCTCCCTGCGCGCAGCAGCCGACCGTCTGGCGGGGCGGACCGGGGTTCCCATCCTCCGCAGCCGGCCCGGGCCGGCCCATCTGGAAGGGCGCCGCGGGCGGGCGGGCGGGGCGCGGGCTCCGGAGCGGCTCCGCCTCGCGGGCGGGGAGGGGAGCTCGGCCGGGCTGGATCCGCTGCTCCGCCGCCGGGCTTCGGGAGGGTCGCGCTGCGCGGTCCCCTCGCCTGACCTGCAGGTGGGCGGCTGAGCCGGCCGCGACCCGGCGAGGAAAGCGGCTGTCCCGGCTCCTCCGCCGAGCCCGGGTGAGGCAAGAGGGCCGGAACGGCAAACGGGAGGCGCTCCCTGAGTTGGGGGCGGCGAGTCCCTTGTGCCCGCAGAGCCCAACCGGAGGCTTCCCGCTCTTCCTCCTCGGCCCTTTCCCCTCGCGAAGGAGAGGAGTTGGTGGCAGAATTAGGAGCCCTTTGAAATGACCTGCGAGGTTGCAAAGTTGCATTGAGTTCACACATAAAGTTTCATTTTGTGCAATTCAGTTGTTGCTTTGTTTGCCTTTAGCTGCTCCCGGCGGTTTGTGAACTGCACTTTCTAGCACATCAGGGGGTGTGGGGGTGACAGGTCTGTCCCTTCAGTAAGTGCAAATTGTTCCAAACTTGGTTTTATGAAAATCTGGCCAGAGTCGTCCCAGGATCACTGGTTTGGAAAGCACAGGAGCTTCCCCAGAGTCCTTCCTGTTTCTGCACATTGGTGCACCAAGAGACAAAAGGCTTGGGGAGAGAAGAGTGTGAGTCGAATGTGAGAATTGACAAGACCCACTTCTGTGCTGCTGTGACCAATGCTCAAGCCAGGAAGGGGGGAGCAGAATGAGGGGCTGAGGACGCCCCAGGATGTGGCAGGATCCTAAGAACTGGAGCTCAGCACAAACATCCTTTGGGGACATCATTACCAGCCTAGAGATGCTACCATTTCACCTCATGTGCTGTTTCTCCTGTGCCGATTTGTGGGAGCTGCGTATGTCCTCCTCCTTCCTGGGCACAAAGATTTAAGCATCTTTGAGGCCTGGCCTCCACCTCCTCTCCAGCCTGCTTCTGAGGTAGCCCAAGGTGGCTCAGCTAGTGTGGAAATGTGTCCTTCTATCAACACAAGGCTTTTGGTGTGGATCTTCCAGGAGTGTGAGATAATATTTCTGGGTGCTGAGCTTGTTCTGCAGGCAAGCAGAATCGTGCTTGGTGCATTGGGGTACAAACCTTCCTCACAAAGTTGGATGTTTTTAGGAAATGGGGTGGTGGATAAAATCAAGACAGCTACTAGTCTGGTAGCTAACTTTCTATCTGCACATGAGTGCAGGACAAATGCCAGGAGGGCATTAGCATCCATATTTGGCTGGGTGAAGATGCCAGGACTCCAATCCAGCAATATTCTTGCTCACGGTCTGATCCAGATATTCCTCCTTTAGTGCTTGAGAAGTTCTGCAGTGCAGCTCAGGGGCTGGCATGGTCTGAACTGATTGTAGCTAAGATTTCATTTCTCAAACTATGGGAAAGGAATAAAAAGATTACTGTGGCCACAGCATATAAGGGAAATTTACTTAAAATGTTTTATTGCTGGCATCATTCACCAGCCAGATTGGCTAAGATGTATAATAGCCAGTCCCAAATCGTTGGAAATGCTCAATGGAACAGGGAACCTATTATCATCTAGTGGAGTTGCAAAAAAGCGCAAGAGTTTTGGCTCAGGACAGGGAAGTAGTTGGAGGAAATGGGTTTTAAATTAGATCATGTACCAGAATGCTTTCTATTAGGAATTATGTCAAAAAATACAATACGGATGAGCTACATTTGATTATACATATTACTACTGCAGCAAGGATAGCATTTGCCTAGAACTGGAAGGAGACAGGCATACAGAGTGAAGACGAAGTAATAAACAAAATTTTATTATGCGCTGACCTTAGAGATGAAAAATAAAGACGAGTTGACATACTATGTAATTTGGAATAGATTCTATCACTGGTGGGAGCAGAAAAGAAGGTCTTAAGTTGGAAAAAGAATTGCTGAGAGTGTATTGAGAGTATGAGAGGAAAATAGGACCAGTGATTCTGGAAAACGTAATATATGAGCGAACAAATGTATAGATGAACAACTATATATAGGGAAATATATGTTTGTGCAATACTGACCAAAAGTTATGTCAAGCCGACTTCACTACGTTCATTGTTTTTAAGTGTTTTTTGTGTAATAAAATATTCATTAAAAAAAAAAAGATTTAACTTCTCTGCCCATAAGTTCCGCGAGGGAGGTTATCAGATGCTCCTTTGAGCAGGAGCAGGTCCAGGAGAAAGTGGCTTCGGGCCAAGCACCAGCTGTGGGCACTCCCAGTGCTTGTTTGGCTGCCCTGGAGGAGCGAGGCCTTGGCTCACCACGCTAAAAGCTCAACCCTCCCCAAAGAGCTGATGACAGATGCCCGAATAATCCGCCCGCTCTTGGCTCCTTGCTTCCACCACAACTGCTCAGACAGCCCCCTCCTGGAAGCCAAGTTTCAGCCTTGGGCCTTTGCCAGGCTGGCACTCTAAACAGAACTTATCTCTCCTGTGCCAAGCAAGCTTTTAGCCGTTCGGCTCAGCGTAGCCACAGGACTCCCTCCCGGCGCTACTTAGGGACAGAATCTGCGGTGTTATTGAACACCAAGCAGAACTTCTGCAACCTTCCTGGGGTTGCCAAGATCTTGGCTGCAGGGCAAGGACAAACTGGGTTTGGTAGACGATGACCTGGTGGGTTGGCAGTGCCTTTCAGGATCCCTCCCCTGAGCCCTTCCTGTTGTCCTTCACCGGTCACACACACACCAACCTTTCCCCGCTTAACTGACATCCCAACCAAGTTTTCGGAGTTCCCCAAGATGTCCCACACCTTAAGGGCACAGCAGGATGGGGCCCATTTACAAGAAGGCACCCAGGGCAGCTCTCTCACGGACTGGCCGCCGGTTGCCTGCCTTAGGGCTCTTCCATGGGACTTGCTTGGCCTGGCAGCAGCCCCCACCCACCCACCCACCTACTGCTGAAGGCAAGACAGCTGCCTGTCACTCTTCACCCTTGCCGAGTGGCCACTGTCCTCCTCCCTCCTTTAGGGGTTTTTCACTTCTACCTGCACAACCTGTGCAAAGGTGCATTTAGGGGTGGGGGGTGAGGCTCTCCCTGAAATCCCAGATTGTTGGCAAATCCAAGCAGCTGGAACCACCGGTGCTTCGAAAAGTGCCTTTCGATTCCAGTCAGGATAAAAACATTGAAGCTGCAAGCAGATTTCCAGATACACTTACAGGGAGCCAATCTAGGCAGCCACTCCGAAATGTTGCCTTTCTGTCTCCTGGGCTTGGCTGCCTCTTTGCCTCTTCTCCCCCCCCGCACCCCCCCACCCCACCTGGCCTGCTCCTTGCAGTCTCTGCCGCACCGCAGCCTCCCCCCCCAACACTTAGTCCGTGGGTTCAGGCCCGTTTGTCTTCCACGGCAGGAAGTGGAGGGGCCTCCCCCTGCCCCAAAGCCCGCCCCCTTGCTTCTGCCACGTATCTGGGGGTGCAGAGGGGGGAGGAAAGGATTCTTCGGGGTGCCACTTTCTCACAGTGGCTGAAAAGCGTCCCCCACCCCACTTCCCGGGGAAAGGGGGGGGAATGGTTCTTTGTCCCCGCCCGAGTGGTAAAATTGTGGCCGATTTCCTTGGGGGGGGGGGGCAGGGCCAAGCTAGAGCTGGGCCTCCCCTTGAAGCACTGCAGCTGGGGGAGGGGGGGGCGGCGTCAGCATCTGCCTAGGGCTGCTCTGGGTGGGACGCCTCTGGCTGTGCGTCGCCCCCTCCCCCAGAAGCCCCTGGTGTCCAGCTGCCCACCCCCGACGACACTCTTGAAGGGGGTCTCGGGGTCTGGACGAGCAAATCCAATGCCTGCAGGAGCCCCTCCCCGCAAACGGACGGCAGGAGAAGGGCCGGGAAGGCTCCCTTTGGCCGGCTCTCGGCTCCTTCGGGGCGGGGGCTCCGGGGGTCGCCCGGCCGGACTTGCTCGCAAAGGCGTGGCCGGCCAGATCCGCTTCCAGGCCGGCAGTCAAGAAAGGGAGGAGGCGGGGGCGGGGGGCGCGGATTGAGCAAAGCGCGTTTCCCTCCCCCCCGTCCCGCACATGGAGGAAAGCCTGAGGCGCTTGCGGGGCTGCCGAGGGAGAGAAGCGGCTCGGCCTTTGGGGAGGCGGCGCCCCCCACCCCTCGGCTGCATGAAGCGGGGGGCGACGGGGATGGGGGGAGGCTCCGCGGACGAAGGAGGCGGACTCGCCGGCGGAGCTCCCGGCGCGGCTGCCCAGACCCGAAGGACGCCGGAGCTGAGCCGAGACGGACGGCCTGCGAAGGGCAGCGGCGCTTCCCGTCTCCCCCGCCTGGGTTCGAGTGTCGGCGGGCAGCAGGAGGAGGCCGACCTCCGGGTTACGCGGAGGGGAAGAAGCCTGACCGCCGGGCGCTGCTCGTACTTCTTTAAAGCGAGGTCTCCAACCTTGGCCCCTTTAAGACTTGGGGACTTCAACTCCCAGAGTTCCTCAGCCAGCTTTGCTGGCTGAGGAA